TCACATTCAGCCTTTGTATTGACTTTTGTCTGACTAGCCATATAGTTGAAGTGCCATGTTAGACGCCCAGGAGGCATATATCGCATTCAGCCTTTTTAACAAATAATATCAAAGGCTGTAACTATTGACTTTTATGTCTGACTAGTCATAAAGCTAATTACATGAGGGTCAGATCTTTTTATATAACTTTCAAGTGCAAGATATATGATCATATTTCTATTTCACTCATGTAAATCTTGGCAACTTGAATTCTAACCAAGGATATCCTACAGAAACAAAAAAAATTTGCAAATGATAAAAATAGCAAAGTATTAAAATGGCTGGTATTGATTATTTCTCAATGCTATTTTAAGGATCAAAGCCCTGTCACTTAGCTAATTAACCTCGCAGTATGATATTACCTGACATATCAACGTCAGGATCGCAAAGAAACCAACTCAAGGGAAGGTCAGTAGCCTATCGTATTGCCCAACTTAACGACTATTAACGTCTTTTGATTACTTAACGTGTCATTGTCGGCGTCAACACATTTCAAAAGATAATGGACAGGGCTATTGAAATTGCCTTGAATTGATTTCTTTAAAGTCTTTGCAACAATTTTCCTCTTGCCATAGCTTTTTGCTGCCTTGTCAAGACTTTATCATCTGTTTAGATTCATAAGGGCATTAGAAAGTTTTTTTTTTTGGGCATGATGGCTCAGTGGTTAGAGCACCCGCCTCATGAACGGGAGGTTGTGGGTTCGAACCCCGGCCGAGTCATACCAAAGACTTATAACAATGGGACCTTCTGCCTTCTAGCTAGGCACTCAGCATATTAGATTGGAGAAGGGTAGTAATAACATATTATGTCATGCAGGGCCTGCTGGAAGAGTAGTTTCATAACTGAAGTGGCTACCCTGGGTAAATAAAACGTTATTATTTTTGTTAAAGTTAAAAGTATACAAGTTAATATTCTACTGGCTTCTAGCAGACAATGATTCCTTATAATATATGATAATTAGCAAGAATTGAGTTTAAAATATACTTAACTGATAACTAACTTAATCTCCATAATTTTTGCCTAGTATTATTTCCTGGGAAATCATTCAAATTGATCTATTTAGGACATGAAATCAATAAGTTATCTCTTATATTTAAAAAAAAGCTGAGATAAGCACTATCAATCACTCTCTTTGTATCACGTTTCAGGATGTACACTTTATGACGATAGTCGATTGACATACGGTAGTTGATTGATATGCTGAAATGTCATATGCAGAATTTAGAAACACATACACCATACCCACCTACCCGCATTAAGTTAGACATCACACAAGCATATATACAAGGCCGCTCAGGGTTAACATATATATGGGGGGGGGGGGGTGTTTCACAAAGATCCCAAGTTGAACTTATCTCTCAGTTGGACTTACTAGTTATGGAAAGCCGTCAGCATCTTTGAAAATATTTTGTAAAAGTTATTTTAACAGGCATAAAATGTAAATTCAAATCATTCATATTTTCTATTATCGATGAGATTTCATGTTCTTGATGAGGAATTTATGAAAATTCAAAAATAATTTTAATTTTTGCTTTTGAATATATTTCATTTTAAGGCTACAAATGGCTCTCCATAATATTTAAGTCCAAGTTAGAGTTAGGTTTGACTTACGATCTTTGTGAAACACCCCCCTGAAGATACTTTTGCAAAGTCATGACGCTTTGTTCAATCTAACTTTATGATGCGTTTGATAGCTTCTTATCAAGATGTTATATGGAAACCCTTGACCTAAGGTAAGATAATCTATTGGCAATGACTTTATTGGCATATATTTAGGAGCCATAAAGTATACCTTATAGGCAAAGAAGTAGTGAAAATGGACTTTGGGGTTATTTCATATCATTTAAATGGGATTGCCTGGCCCATTTAGCAATGACATTTGTATGGTTTGTTGTCTATGTCTTTGCTGTCATTCTCAACCTTTCATTTTTTTTTTTTTTGTTCAGTTGTTTGTGTGCATGTTCTTTTAATATGTAATAAAATAAGGAAATATTTGAGAAGGAAGAGTAGGTACACCCCCCCCCCCCAATAAGTAAAAGTGTGTGCGTGTGAGCATTGTTCCAACCTTCACATACAAAAAGATATTGTTCATTATTTTTTTGCTCAATATATTTTTTTCCCCATAAATGTGGCAATTAAATGATAAGTAATTGTAACTGATAATTCATCTCTAATATTTATTCTCAGTCATAAGCATGATAAGAAAGAGATGGAAAATTTAAAATTGCAAGATGACAAAATATGAAAGAAAGTACATGTAGACAGCGCTGGAATATGTGTTCAATATTGACTCTAATTCAGGAAAATTTGTAATTTGAAGGGTGAAAGCAGGGTACAAGGGATTAGAGTGGGGGAAGGGAGGGTGAAGGGAGGGTGATGGAGGGGGAGACTGATATTCCTTACAAATTCTCAAAGATTTCAAACTTGACCCTCCTTGGAACAATTTCTGGTTGTCATTAAACTTGTTTGCACTAACACGTTGCAGTGATTGTTATTAGCAATCATAATCATAGTGGTTGATTGGCTGTAAGAAAAAAATGTGTTATAGAATTGGGATAGTTTTTATCGATAACGTGTTTTATGAAATAGAGTCCTGGCCCCATATTCATCAAACCTTACTAGTTGTCAAGTAACTGTGTACTATAGCCTCTGTAAGTAGTTGGCAACTAGTTCATGAATATGGGCTTTGGTGTAGAGTTGTGAACCTTATGATCATAGTATTATCAGGACCAACACAAAGATACAAAATGAGAAGGGAAAAAAAAGAAAGATCAAAGGACAGTATTTGACAGCTGACACAATTTGACATGACTTACTACCTCAAAAGTTACAGTCTTTATAAAGGGGATGCAGGATTGCAGGGACAGTTTTTAACAGCTGACACAATTTGACATAACTTACTACCTCAAAAGTTACAGTCTTTGTTGAGGATGCAGGGACAATATTTAACAGCTGACATTATTTGCAACAACTCACTTTCTGATAATTGGGGACATCCCCTTTTCATCAGACAACCTGAAGGCCAATAGCCATCGGTCCTAGCGCAGCGTTATCATGACAGTTCTCTTCCGGAGATGCTAAACATGATGACATAGAGGGGGGGGGGGTTCCCTGTGCCCCTTATTTACCTCCTCCTTTAGACAGAGGGGTACAGAGTCGACCCCCTCATTTACACCTCTGAGGCACTAAAAACGGGAATAGTGAGAAGGGGACAAGTGGGATTTATTTTTCCCACTGTGCCCCCTCCCCTTTTCGATGTCCTTTGATTAAACTTTATAAGAGTAGTTTAAAAGAGAAAGAGATTTGTTTTTATAAAAATACTCTCTTTACTCCGTGGGGTTCATTTGTCCTCTTCAGCTTTGCAGATTCTTGCAGACGGTGATCTAAAATTGTGTTAATTGCTGCATGAGGCAGTGTGCATGTCTAGTTATGCAGAAGGTTTCACAAAGGTTTTGAAAAAGAAAAAAAAACATATTTAGTGTATTATGAATATTGTGTGCTTTTCTATTTCTAGAAATGTTGAAACTTATTTCAAGTGATTTTTCTTTTGGCAGAAACATTCCCCTGTCGATTAATTTCGCGGTTATCGCGCTGCCAAGAAACGTTTGGAACTGATTTTTTTTTTTTTGTCATTTCATTTTAGGCATTGCGTTGTAGCTCAAAATAGCGAGACATTTCGCCAAAAGGAAACTCTGTGACGCGAGCATCGATTCGGCTCCCCCTGTGCCTTGACTCATGGCAGGAAGGTTCATGCACGTACCCATACTGCTTGTCACATGGGGGATAAAAAGTAGGGGGAGGGGGGAAGTGCTCAAAGTCCTGACACTAAAAGTTTGTTCCCCTTAATACTTTCACGTGACTCTGGCAGCGGGACGTTTATAAGGCTGTGACTAAAAAGTTAGTGATTCATTCGAGCCTTTTACTCACTCTTTGGTGCAGCTAGGCAGTTTGGAGTTGTTACTCCATATCATCGAGAATTTGTGATTTACCATAAACTGTATATTCAAGAACTTATCGACGAGGGAATTTCACCTAAGTTCTTCATCATATTTATAAAATCAGCTTTTGTTGGATCTTCTGCCTTTTGTGAAGACTATTGTCAATGGACTATAAAGCGTTCGGGTCATTTGGTCCACTGGGAATTCAAAATATTATCATCTATTGTATTTTCCAGTGAACTGGGGGTAAAATTATCCACCTATAACCAGCGTCCATCGGTGCGTGACTTCACAACAAAGCAAATTTTCATTTTTAACCCGCTATATTTTTGGCTCATTCTTTGTAAGGGCCGATGAGTATACAACAGTGAGGTCTGCGTTGCAGCTGCTGAATTGCATTAACCATTATTTTAAAAGTTGGCGGTGTATCGCCATAGTAATTGGGCAGCAGAGCACTTTGGGCTTATTTCCCCAAAAGACACAAAAGCGACTGGAGTACAGTTGTTACGGGACTACATTACAGTGATATGATTGTTAATTGTGCAACTTGGCATATTGGCAATAGTGTGGATTGCCTGAGCCAAGTTTATGTTTTGATACATGACTGAACTTTTTTAAAGCGCCATTTTCAAGAAGAGCCTTTAACATTTAAAAAGAAAGCCCTCCCATTGTTTTGTGTACAAACAAACTACCATAAAAGGTGTCATTTTGAATAGGCCAGTTTCGTAATGTAACCAAATTTAATGCATACGTCTTTGTGAAGTGCCTCAATACAAATTATTTCATTCACCTGATAGGAATAATAGTATTTCAATAGTCAGAATGCAACGGCATATATTAAGTGTTGCTAGGTAGGTCAAGCCATAATGTTTGTCCAACCTGGCAACAACTAATGTATGCAGTTCGGATTCTGTCTATTGAAATACTATTATTCTTACCAGGTGAATAAAATAATTTGTATTGAGACACTCTACAAAGACTTATGCATTAAATTTGGTTACATTACGAAAATGGCCTATTGAGAAGGATATTAGCGAGGATTAGCGAATGAAGTGACTTCTTTTTCAGTTGAGGATTTGATGTGAGAACAAAAGTTGTAGTGCATTGAACCTGAATTTTAAATAAATCTTGTGTTGATTAGGATGTAAAGAACATTCTTGGCTGCATTCTTTGTGGAATCTACCAGCAGGTGAAGACATTCCATTCATTCCTCCATGACTGTTACATGCAAATGAGCACCTCTCCAAGGACATAGTCAACAGGTGTTATATGTCTGTCAGTCAGTCTGCATTGCTCACACACACACAGACAGGCAGTCACACTTGGAGAATCATCGAGAGCGGAAATCAAATAGAAATTTGTATTCTTCTGGGGAACCACTTCCTACGCATATAAACCCCTGCTTTGATTGACCTCTTGCACCCCAAAAAGTTAGGACTGGAATTGCTACTTCCATGTTTAGGGGAAAATTGACTTTTTTCAAGAGTAGTGAGTGAGAACCCACTTGTATGAACTTTGCTCTTTAATTTGGGGGGAGTACTGTGGGGAGCTCTGTCTGTATGTTGTTAGCTGTGTTTGTACTCTGCTTAGAGCCTGCGTTCTGATTGGTTGAAACTAGTAGCTTGTGGTAATCTGAAACCAGTGTTTTCTTGAACTAGCTGGTGGTTTTCAGGCGCACATACATAGCGTATATATACACACAGCAATCTTTTGTGTACACTGTGACCCTCCTGCTCCCTGCTCTTTGCTCCATAAAGTTTATCTGTGAGTCAAGCGCAGGGTAGTTGATAGTGCACTCACAGACATGAGTGGTAAAGACTGGAAAGAGAGAGAAGCAAACGGTGATTTAGCAGGCAGTGGTACGGCCAGCCTTTCCGATTCTCTCGATGGCGTTGTTCCCCATCCCAACATGAAAGGCCCGATTAAGCGCAGACATTCTGTGCACAACTTTGCGCGTCAACTGAGTTTGCGAAGGAAGCAGAAACTTCAGAGACTTGTGAGCAAGAATGGAGAATGCAATGTGGTTTACACTCATGTGCCTTCAAGGTGGTCTGACTTCTTCACTGATATGTTCACAACACTCATTGATTTGAAATGGAGGTGGCTACTCATAATATTCTCGCTGGCATACGTGCTGGGATGGATGGGTTTTACGTTCGTTTGGTACGCGCTGATCTGGTATCATGGGGATCTTGGTTACCAGGACAAAATGGCAGACAATGTCACAGAATACGAAGACTGGGAACCATGTGTTTATAACGTGCAAAACTTCATTGGTGCTTTCCTGTTCTCCGTGGAAACGCAGACGACGATCGGTTATGGTTATCGCGGAACGAGTGAAGCATGTTGGGCAGGAGGGGCCATCGTCGTGATCCAGTCCGTCTTTAGTTGCCTGGTGGATGCCGTCTTTATCGGTATGGTCTTCGCAAAAATTGCACGACCGAAGAAACGTGCCGCAACAATTAAGTTTAGCCACAATGCAGTCATCGCCGAGCGAGACGGCAAGTTGTGCTTGATGTTCAGAATAGGAGATATTCGCCGGTCGCATATTTACGAAGCTCATATCAGGGGGCAACTCATCGGACCTAAAGTTACGGACGAGGGCGAGTGCATCCCTCTTCATACGTACAACATGGATTTCAGTAACAATACCGGGGAGGATAGAATCTTTCTGGTGTGGCCTATCGTTATTTGCCATGTGATAGATGAAAAGAGTCCTCTGTATAGCATCTCAGCTGCTGATCTCCTGGAGAACAACTTTGAGGTGATCGTATGCATGGAGGGTGTTTTAGAACAAACAGGTCTTGTCATGCAAGCTAGAACATCATACTTGCCTTCCGAGATCCTATGGGGACAACGCTTCAGTAGCAACCTCATCAGCATCAACAATAATGAACAATTCAAAGTGGACTACACCGACTTCAACTCCACCTATGCAGTCCAGAGCATGCCTAGCTGCAGTGCGGCAGACTTAGAGCGCATGAGGTCAGCAGACACGGACTTATTGAACAATTCCAAAGTGAAGTCGTCGCCTTCGTCTGTTAAGTCTTCCCCCAAGAAAAGTGTCTTCCGATACAGCTTGCCTAAATCACCAAACAGTGCCTTCAACGGAAATGGGAGCATCCGATTTGCGGATGATCTGGAAAACGGAGAGAAAAACGGAGAGAAAATGCACATGTCCAATTCTAAGGCCAGTATGGCTTCTGTGGAGTCGATGACCAATGGCAATGGACATGTTACACATGGAAACGGGATGAAGAGATCCCCCTCCAGAGAGTCACCAGTATAGGTGAGATTTGTTCCCATGTTTAGAGTTTATTCATCTTAGCATCGACAAAGGTATTTTATGTTTGGTTGAATTCTGCTTCCAAAGTCATCTATGCTGCCAAAAACTTCTGTTTTAGACGGGTGTTTTTCACTTGTTCTATAATATGAAAGTTTTTATGTGTGAAATTGAGATAAAGTCCTTTAAATTGCAAAAGAGGCAAGCTTATCTATCCATAAAAAAGACCCAAAAGAGGGCAAGACACAGAGGTTATAATATCCATGCTTAGAACAGTTAGGTTCTAAAACAGCTTGTACCGGACAACATCAAGTAATGTAATGAATTTATATCAAGTTACAAATTAGTTAATTAACTAAAGTGAATGCTATTTATTTTCATGGAATCAAACAAAATAGACATCCTGCAGGCATTTAGAAAGAAATGGAGGGAGGAGAGAGAGAGAGAGAAAGAGAGAGAGAGAGAGAGAAAGAGAAAGAGAAATAGAGGGAAGAGAGAGAGAGAGAGAGAGGGTTTATTATGTCATTTACCGCATGAAAGAGTACTGTAAACTACATGATAGTAAACTGTATGATAGTGATAATATGGAAGGAAAGGAATAAAACAGACAAAATCCTATGATTTAGCTTCTCATTTATTCATTTCATAATCATATTCAGCTTTTTCATATTCAGCATATTTTTTTTAATGCTGAATTATATTCCTTAATCATGCAGCAACCTGCGTGTCTTATATCAAAAATATTTTAGGAAATCATTTTTCCATTCACAACCTACCGATGTGCAAATTGCTTGTGTATTGTTTGAGTATACATATTCATGAAAATAGTGTAATTCAGAAAATTTAAGAGAATTTTTAATGCACTCTATACACTACCAGTAATTTTTCACTTCCCAGCAGATCTGATCTGTCCTAGGTTATCAGTTAGAATGGGGTTCCAACGTTAAAAGAGCTCATTTTATTTCTGATTTCATTTCAGCCTTGACTTTATACTCGTATATATTCCTTTATGTGTTCAGTTCTATTTCTCATGATCTGAATATTGTGCAGAGGGAATCACAAATAAGAAATATTTTTCTATTTTCATGAATCATGGTATAAACATTGAGCTTTTTAAGGTTTTATGTCCATTTCAGTATTCAGTTTCTAGTGATCTTTTCTCTGTCTCACCAGGAATTATCAAGTAGGCCTATAAATGTAGATGATGTTATTTACATTCAAATGGTAGAACAGATATTTTTCTTTCTTGAAAACACTTTTTGAGATAAGAACACATCTGATAAAGATGTTCATTCTGGTATCTGGACTGCCTTCATACAGTCAAATCTGCTTTAGCGACCACCTGTATAGAAAGACCACCTCTATAAAGACTGCATTTATTGTTTCCTTTGGAATGTTTTCCTCCCATTGAAACATGTACTAAAGGAACCTGTACATAAAGACCATCTGCTCATAAAGACCACTTTTTTGTATCCCTTGACTTGAGTATAATAGTCTTGAAAAACTCTTATGCAGGTTTCACTGAATTAGAAACCAAAGACCAAAAATGTTGTTTAGTGTAAGTGTATCTCTGTTCAATACTAAATTGCTTTGAAACCTAAGAGCTTGTATTTTCAGTTATCTAGCCAGCAGAGATCAGATTAAGTACTTCAATGTCCAATCTGATATACAGACGTGTCAATCTTCATAAATGACCAGTACAAATTGGCTCTAGTATCTTCAAGGGGTTTCAATGATCGGGGTGTTATATCATGGTTATATCGACTGAGCTTCTAATGTTTCCGGACACCTGACTTTAGATTTTTTGCCTTTTAGGACATTCATTACAGTATAAATAGCAATGTCCATTTATATCATGCACTTATCTAACCCAGGGGATGTATTTAAGACATCCTCTCATTCAAGGAGTATTTTCCTATTAAGTTTGTACCCATTTGATGCACCTGGGTGGAGAGTGGCAAATATAGATTGATATCGAGCAAAGGATATTAGTGCCGTGGCAGGAATCAAATTGTGAACCATGTGATCCATAGTCTGGTGACATATCCACTAGACAGCAACACCTTCTTGATACAGTTGTTTAAATTTCAGTGGGAATGATAAGTCCTGATTCAGCTTTTTAGAGTAAAGACAAACAAATACAACAAAAAACAGGTCCAGTTTCACATAAAAGTACCTTTCTCTCAAAAAAATGCTGTGTGATAATTTAGTGATATTTTCACCAAATGCCTATACTATTCATAAAATACATTCAGTAAAGAAAAAAATACATAATTGGCCTAACAAATTAATACAGAATTGAAGCCATGGTCCTTTAATAGTCCTTTAGAAAATTGATCTTTCCATTATTTTTTTCAAATTGATAATCTTTGTTTTTTATAGGTCATTCCTTCAGCTGTCAAGATATCTATAAGTTTTTAATAAATATTTACGTAAGTAACGAAACACATTTCAACTTCTTTCCTCAATATTTGAGATATGAAATTTTGGGCTACTTTTGATAAGGCTATCTATTGATTAGTGTGTAGACTCCACACTAATTTTACAGGTGGTATGCATACAAATATACATATGGTCTGTCTGTATGCTTTGGGGCTAAAACTTTGAAAAGTTCATGGCTCACAAGTAATGATTGTTAGGCCCTTGTGCACTGGGTCCTTGTTCAAGTCAAGTTATGTTATCGCTGTCATTGTCAGATAGTTGGTAATCATCTTGATTTTTTATTTAGGTCTTCATCATCTGCTTGATTAATTTAATATTTATTTGGTCTTATGATCTTACCTTCCCAGAATCACCAATATAACTACCTCTTCTTTGGTCATAATTTGTCCTGCTTCTTCCTCATTTCCACTTTTCCCTTTTCCTTTTTCTTTTATCTGTTTTTACTTCTCCTTGTCGTTTCGTGGCTATTTATTGTTTTGTAATATTTTCTTGTATTTTCCAAGTATTTGTAGGCAAAATTTGAAACAATTATATTTTTTTCTGGGGGATCCACAAACTACCACAAGTACTGCTTTTAAAGGAATCCCCCCCCCCCCCCATTTCCTCAGAAATTAAGAATTTCTTGTAATCATTTTATTATGTGCAAAGTTTATTTGTATAGTTACCATGAAAAAGTGAATTTTGTATGAAAAAAATGTAATACCTTTGTTATCTTTCTGTTAGAAATGAAATAGACATGAATTGAATTTAATTGAATAGTTAGTATTTACTCTTAAGGTTTCAGTTTCAGTTTGCGGAATCAGTGAAAAGATTCATATTCACTTGTGTCTTTTGTGTCAAATCCTGATGTTGAGGGTAGCATTCATGTCTGTTTGCTTGCTAAGTCATGTGTCAAAAGAGATCTGAGAATAATCCCTCCCCCTTTTTTTTGTTTAACTGTTTGGGGACATAATGTACATGTACTTGATGTTCTTGCAAAGCTAGTTGAACTTCTGAAAAAGCTTTTTTGCAAATTGCATGGAGGAGTAAGCCATACCTTAGTCATGGTGGTTGGTGGAGAAAAGAAAAAATAACAAAAATTATGAGAGCTTTACTAATCCCGAAAAGAGATTAAATTCCAAGCACAGTTTGGGAAATTCTTTGATCACCCTTCCCCACTTGTATGCCTTTTGTAATTTTCAAAATAAAGTGACTGATTTTGAAAGTAAACTGCAGTAAAATATTGTTTTTGGAACATTCTACAAGTTGTTCTGGAAGTGAGTTTTCATTTTCTAGAGTTTTGGATATTTCATGGCTGCAACTGTATATCTCCCAACCCCCCCCCCCCCCTTCCTGCCTTTTTTTGTTCTTTTTTTTTACATTTAAGCAACCTCAAGGTTTAAAGTAAACTATTTTTTTTCACCACTTTAGCATTTTGGCTTCAACTTAAATATGTTGACTGATTCAAAATGTACTGGTATGTACTGAGAGTGTAAATTTCTGAGATTTGTATGAAGGTAGTTTGTTTCCTGGTTGTTGCTCTTGGTTTCTGTTATATATACATCATCCTGTCGTATATAAACTGCATAAGGGATCAAGTGATTAATAATGACATGCTATATTCCAAAGCAGATCCTTAACTTAATGACCTACTGAAAGTGGTGAGAATTATAATTTAGAGTTTAATACGGTAATAAATAACTTAATAATATAACGGCCCTTTCATTTTCTCACTTCCATAGGCTTAAAGGTACTATGTCCCATTTGCAGGCCAAAAAAATGAAAAAGTTAAATTCCAACTGCATTTGAAAGATAATACTAATTTAGAGCTTCCCTAAAAAAAGTGGGGCTTGAAAATGTCTTCAAGTGGGAAAATAACAACTATTAGTTGTCAAATCGACTTTAGGGCTATAGAGCCCAAAAGTAATAGTCTTGATTTTCAGACAATTGTACCGAATGGTCATACGTTTTATGCTGCGCAAAGATTCAATCAGTTTAATCTTGGCCATCACAAGAAGTGGGTTATTGATGTAGACAAATGCTCATGTACCCTTTACAACTCTTTTCATGTATGTTATTACCAAAGAAGAAAAAAAGCCAGTCAGTCACTCAATATTGTCTGACAGTAAAGTCTAGCAAGTAAACGGGTTTCCTTGCATAATTTGAATGTGAGGACACTGCTAACGTTTAAATTTCACAGATAGGACATACATGACATATTCATAATTCCTGCAAAGTTCTACATCATTTGAGGTTGACTGCAAAAGGGACATAGTACCTTTAATACAGAAACCGTTTGTTTCCTGTATGTAATGGGTTCAAATAGAGAAAGGATAAGTTGTATTTAATTTTAAATGTTACTTCAAATTTTTCTGAATATTGTGAAAAGCTTGTCGCAGTGGGAAAACAGAAATGCACTGTAAGCAGTTTCCTTTGTTAGTTATGTCCCTTTCCCTGTTATTGAATCATACTCATTTTTCATGTCAGCATGAAATGAAACATGACAAAATTATGATGTTGAATTGACACCTTACATTCAGATGCTCCTGAATGTTGTGAAAAGCTTGCCGAACTAGGAAAACAGT